CGCCCGCCACTGCGCCCGGCTAATTTTTTGTATTTTAGTAGAGACGGGGTTTCACCGTGTTAGCCAGGATGGTCTCGATCTCCTGACCTCGTGATCCGCCCGCCTCGGCCTCCCAAGGGATTACAGGCGTGAGCCACCGCGCCCGGCCGACTAGTATGCTTTTAAAGCTCAATACACATTTAGTTATTACCTAATGAAAGAATAGAAAATTGTGTTATAGAAATTCTTGTAATTCCTAGATTTCTGTGATGTAGCTAGATACTGTGTGATCTGAGAACCTTGCACTGTTTACTGCAAAATGGGTCTACAATATTCCTATAAACATATTAAAATACTGAGCAGTGCTGGAGCACTCATTAGACAATCGCCACTCCTTGTGTCCGTGATGTGATCTGTCATGGAACTCACCAGGTGAGTTCACAAACACGCCTGCCTTACCACCATGGGGAAGTGGATTTGGGTCTGCTCAGAGGCATGATGTTGAATAGCTCTCGTGAACTTTCCAAGCACCTAAGAATGCAGAGACCTTTGGTCTCTAAAACTTTGAACTTAAGGCATTTGAGAGAGAGATTTGCTTGTTCTTCACAATGTTTGTGTTGTCATTAGGAGAAACAATGAGAAGTGATTTTTCATGATGACTACCTTAGCCTTGAGGCTCAGCCAGTCCCTCATGCTGTGTACCAATACTTAAAGGCCACTCCCTGCTGTATATTCTCAACAGATTTTCTCATTTACCCCTCAGGACTGCTCTGTAAGGTTGATATGGTCAATCCCATTTCACAGCTAACCAAGCTCAGGCTCACAGAGCCTGAATCACTTTTCCAAGTAGGCGGCAGGATTGGAATGAGGTTCCATCCCTCACCTTCCCTAGAGGACCCTGATCACCCCCTTTTAGAAGATGGGTTTCCAGGGCTTGATAAATGGTCAGATTCCACTCCCCTGCTATTGTGGTCCCATGGGTTCCCACTCAACAACTTCTCTGAAGATGACAAGGGAAGCGAAATCCTGTGCTTTGTGCCATGAGATCTGGCTGTAGGGCCACATAAGAGGGCTGATCCCTAAAGTGGCAAGTGGGCTTAGGCAGAAGCTTAGGTGTTGGCCTTGGGACAGGTGAGCTAGAGAGAAGGAAAGAAACATGCACTAAATTACCGTAAGCAAATGCACTTTACACCTCATCTCCTTTAATCTTAACTGCTCTCCAAGGTCATTATGACCATTATTCAAATTAGGCTGCTGCCTTTAGAGGAGTTTATGTAAATCAGGAAGACAACTTTGTTGTTTCCTGATCAGCACAAACTCCGTAATACTCTAAACTTTTATCATTTTCTCTTCATTATTCCAGGGCCCTGAATGCTCTAATCTCCCTCCAGGCTGACAGTACCTGCTCCCCAGGTGTTTTTCAATGTTTTTTCTTTTGAAATTTAAGATCTGTATAATTTTAAAGTCAAATTTTGAAGTTTAATTGGGTTAGTATCCATGATTTGTGAAACATAGTAACAAAATGGCAACTATTTCAACAGAGAATTTAAATGAAATGTACATGAACAATAAACATACTAAAATATGCCAACCCCTCAAGAACTAATAAAATGCATTTTAAAATCTTGAGAATTTATAATGACAAGATACAAAAGATAAGTACCGTGATTGCACTTTTGGAGAAGACAACATGTGTGTGTAGGTAAACGTGTTGATGTGCACCTCACCTACAGGGACATGTCAGGAGAGTATGCACCATCCTAGGAACAGCAGACCCCTTGGGGTTAAGGAGTGGGAGTTGACCAGTGAGAGCTCAGGTTAATTTTGATTTATCAGTATGCTCTTGTATACTGTTTGAAAATTGGATTTGGGAATAAAAGTATTTTGATGAAAATTTGAACACACAAAATACTTTGGAACAAATTGTCAAAGTTAAGGTGTACATAATTTTCATTAACTTGAAAAAGCATTCATTATATTCTATTTTATTGTGAAAGAAGTAAATAACAAGTCTAATTGACAGAGGTTTTGTGTGTGTGTGAGTGTGTGTGTGTGTCCTCTAGCTCTACCACCCCAAATACACAATCATGGATGCAACTTTAGTTGCAGAGGGAATTGGAACCAATATCAGTTTCATATATTCTGGAACATGATGGATACATGGAAATCGCTACTATTAGGTGAATAACTCTGGAAAACTGTGGCTGGTACCTTGGAGCTAACCTCCAACCTCCATCCCTCCCTCTTCCTGAGTCCCCGGTTTGAGATTATCAGAGCTGCGTTTCTGTCTCTGGCCACTAGAAGGCATCACAGCTATCTCTGTTTTTGTACATTTTGCAGAGTAACATGTTTCAAAATAACTTGTTTACTTTGGTTCTAGTTCTGTTTGGAAAATTCACATGTATATTAAAGCAGGTGCATTTGCTGTTGACCCCCAAATCTACGTCGCATTCACTGATTTATCATCTCTTCCCTTCTCAGTGTAGGTTGAATTGTCCATACTGTCAGAGGGGGAGGGGTGGAGACGGGGGGGGCGGGGTGTCCCTCCCAGAGAGCAAGGCATTCACTCTCCATAACTCTATCCCTGTACAGGCTTCTCAGACCTTCTCACACTCTCTCTCAGTCTTCCCCTCTCCAGGACACTATAGACGCAGTTCCCCAGATGCTGCTCTACTGCCTCCACCTCTCTCGGTCACCTTTCTACAGCCTTGTCACTGCTACCTGGTGTTTCATTGTATGGATGCCCTGGAACATATGTTTTTACATTTACACCGATCAGTTTTTTTCTTACCAGCATGGGGAACTGGATTTGTGTCTTCTTGGAGGCATGATGTTGAACAGTTTTTGTGAGATTATGAAACACACAAGAATGTAGAGAACTCCATCTCTAAAACTCTGAAATCAAGGTGTATCAGGGAGATTTGCCTTCTTTATATGGATATCTGTGTTTTCATTAGGAGAAACAATGAGTAATGATTTTTCACGATGCCTGCCTTGGCCTTGAGGCTCAGCCAACCCCTACTGCTATGTCTCAACATTTCAAGGGCCATTGAAGTCTCCCACTGCATGCCATATACTCTGGACAGGTTTTCCCATTTATGCCTGGGAACAACTCCGTCAGGATGGTATGGTCAGTCCCATTTCACAGATGACCAAGCTCAGGCTCACAGAACCTAAGTCGCCTCTTCAGGTAAGTGGCAGGATTAGAAAGAGATTGTATCCCTCATCCTCCCTAGAGGACCCTGAGCACCTCCCTTTTAGAAGATGGGCTTCCACGGGCGCGGTGGCTCAAGCCTGTAATCCCAGCACTTTGGGAGGCCGAGACGGGCGGATCACGAGGTCAAGAGATCGAGACCATCCTGGCTAACACAGTGAAACCCCGTCTCTACTAAAAAATACAAAAAAACTAGCCGGGCGAGGTGGTAGGCATCTGTAGTCCCAGCTACTCGGGAGGCTGAGGCAGGAGAATGGCGCAAACCCGGGAGGCGGAGCTTGCAGTGAGCTGATATCCGGCCACTGCACTCCAGCCCGGGTGACAGAGCGAGACTCTGTCTCAAAAAAAAAAAAAAAGAAGATGGGCTTCCAGGGCTCGAGAAATGGTCAGATTCCACCATTCAGATCATGGCAATGTTTTTAGGGGAGTTTGTGTAAATTAGGGAGACAAGTTTGTTATTGTTTGTTTTGTATTGATGCATACTTAGAATGCTTCTCATTTTTTCCTTTTTAAAAAGATTTCAGCAATGCTGTAGCAAATAACCTCTTACCTGGATATTTTGTACATGTGAAAAATGTTTCTCCATTACATGCTTAAACATCTATCCTTTGGGGCTTGATTTCAGTAATTTAAACTCCCTTATATGTGTCTGAGCATTCTCATTTCTTTAACCATCTTTGTACCCGTTGTTACAATATTTACATGTGTTTATAAGTGATAAGTGTGTTTCCATTTCCTTGATGTATTTGGTCCCTCATCCCGCCCCCATACCCAGACACACACAGAACCACTTTTTACCTTTTTCTTTTGCAAATTAAAAAAAAAATTCTTATTCAGCTTTTTCTGCATTTAAATTTTGTCAAACGATAGATGATAAAAGTGTATTTAGATGGTTTCATTTGCATTCCTTAATGTATTAGCGAGCTAGAATGCATTTTCTTATGATTATTGGCCATTTGCGTTTTGTCATCCATGAACCATTTACATATTTTGTCAGTTTTGCTGTTTTGTTATAGGAGCTGTACATGTGTTAAACCTAAAACCCTTCACTGATGGATGCATGCGTTATTTCAACACATCTTTCTTGGGTGAATATTATTTATGAGACACTCTAGCAAAATCCATATCCTAGATGTCTCTTCTGAGATCTTGACTCTTATATTTATGGGAGATGTCCACCTGCAGCAAGAAAAGTATTAGTGCCCATGCAAACATGCGTGGCTTGTCAAGGATCACATGCACAGACAGTTCACACTTACTCCTAAACCCTGCATGGCCACAGAGTAAAAAGGATGTGTGGTGCATTATATGAGGAGAGCCCTGGCTCAGGATTGTGATTTCTGTGATCTCTACACTAACAGCAAGATTTTTAAAAATTACATAACATTTCTGAGTTTGCCTTTTCTCATTTGTAAAATGGAAACAATCATAGCTACCAAAGACAATTGTTCTGACAAGTAAAAGAACAAATTAAGCGTCATACACAGCGTAGGGTACATACGGTACTCAACACATCTTAGTCCCCTTCCTATTTCATACCTGTCCTTACTTTAAAGGAGAGTCCTTTGACGTAATCCAAACGGCATCGTTACATAACGATCACATGGAAATGTTAAGAGAAATGTAAGGTTTCAATGATGAATTAACTGCTGTGTCTCTACTCTGTTTTGGATAAGAAAAAGTAAAACAATCGCTGAAGCAGTTTCCCAGGGTTTGTAAAAGAAAACCATCAAAGCCACCACCTCATTTCGCTTTATTTGATAAACTTCGCCATCCCATTTTTTATGTTCTATGTTAATTTCTCAAGAAAAATAGGCCCGGCACCGCCTCTGCGTGCAACCCTGCTGGTCTGGCCCAGGCGCGGGGCGGGGCCAGCATGATGAGCGCCCCAGGCAGCCCCGACCAGGCCTACGACTTCCTGCTCAAGTTCCTGCTGGTGGGCGACAGCGACGTGGGCAAGGGCGAGATCCTGGAGAGCCTGCAGGACGGCACGGCCGAGTCCCCGTACAGCCACCTGGGGGGAATCGACTACAAGACGACCACCATCCTGCTGGACGGCCAGCGGGTGAAGCTGAAGCTCTGGGATACGTCGGGGCAGGGAAGATTTTGTACCATATTCCGCTCCTACTCTCGTGGTGCACAAGGAGTGATCCTGGTCTACGACATTGCAAACCGCTGGTCTTTCGAGGGTATGGATCGATGGATTAAGAAGATCGATGAGCATGCCCCTGGTGTCCCTAAAATCCTGGTGGGGAATCGCCTACATCTGGCATTCAAGAGGCAGGTGCCCAGGGAGCAGGCCCAGGCCTATGCTGAGCGCCTGGGCGTGACCTTCTTTGAGGTCAGCCCTCTATGTAATTTCAACATCATAGAGTCTTTCACGGAGCTGGCCAGGATCGTGCTGCTGCGGCACAGGTTGAACTGGCTCGGGAGGCCGAGCAAGGTACTGAGCTTGCAAGACCTCTGCTGCCGCACCATCGTGTCTTGCACGCCTGTGCATCTGGTAGACAAGCTCCCGCTCCCCATTGCCTTAAGAAGCCACCTCAAGTCCTTCTCCATGGCTAAGGGCCTGAATGCCAGGATGATGCGAGGCCTCTCCTACTCCCTCACCACCAGCTCCACCCACAAAAGGAGCAGCCTCTGCAAAGTGAAGATCGTCTGCCCACCCCAGAGCCCACCCAAAAACTGCACCAGAAACAACTGCAAAATTTCTTAAGGAAGGCACCAGAAGGAAACAAGCTGGAATCACTCCAGGAAAAACTGAATGGTTACACCTGGAAGAGGGAAGATGCATTCCAGATTCAAAGAAATAACGTTTTCAGTTTCTCATGGGAACAGTGCTGCTTGGGAATGTGTGTGATGCCTTCTGTCGATAAAAGCACTTTATGCAGTTTGACTTTGAATTTCTACGTGGATGTGCATGTGTTTATAAAGGGAAAATTAGTACTCTGTTCAACTCTTGATAACATGAAATTTTGAATGTTACTTATAATCACACTGCATCTTTTTCCTTAACTGCTTTTGTAAGAATGGTGATATGGCAGTGATGAGTATAAATTCAAGGAAATTTGAGATGCAATGATAGTGAGATCATTCTGAGTCATTGATATTACAAGAGGGGCCTTTTTGTATACTTCCTTTTTGATGTCAAAGCACCAATTTATAAAACACTGCAGATGCATATAGAGATTATATGTAACAGATCTGTCCAGTTTGTGCACGAAATGGATTTGATAAAGTTTTTGCTATGTTATTTTACTACATTTGGGGATTAATAAGTGATTTATATGTGTGTTTTTCTGTAAATTTACTTTTTTGTACAAGATGTTTTACAAGATATGAAGCTAAGGGAAGAAAATGCCAAAGATATCTCTAGTTATGTTGAACATAGCCAACATGGTTTCAATGGGTCAGTAAGAAAAAAGCCATTTCAGTAAGGAATGAAATAAGTACTTATTTAAGAAAATGTTTCTTAACAATAAAAGTATATATTTTTATCTTTTGCTAAAATGAAAAGAAAAAGAAAAATATGTATAATGTAACCCTGCAAGATGAGGCTTTGCAGAAAAACAATGCAATAGAACATGGGGGGCCAGGCCCATTATAAGGCCTTAGGTGAGTCATTTCCCCTGTGCTGGCCAGTTTTGGTTAACACCTCTCAGATCTATATAGAGGTTAATGAGATCACATCTGAGAAAGCACTTCTGAGACCTTAGATGGGAAGGAAGGAGAAGTGATTTCCATGTAATTACTTTCCGATTTACACTGTGGATTATTATAGTAATCAATATTGGATAAACTGATTAAATGTAAGTCCTTGTACTCTTTTGTAATTGAATGACCATTTATTTGTACATTGTCATAGGGTGGTTGTAACATAAAGTCCCACAGAAGGGCAGTATCTCTGGCCTCAGGGAGCCATGGGGACTCACCCTTCCTGAACGCTGGTACTTTTCTATCTCATGAATTTCTCACAACATTCCTGGGAGGTAGAGGATATAATCTCTACACCATCCTGTAGCTGAAGAAACAGTGATGTTTGCAGGTTAAGCAATCTGGCTGGGGAGCATCCTGCCACTAAGTGAAAAAGCAGAGACCTGCACCCTATATGCCCCCAGGCAGACTGATGCTGAGCTGCACATCACACCATAACCAAGTAAATCTTGCTTTCCTGCTGACCCAGGTCACTACTGAAATCTGTATCTTCAGCTCTGAAGCCAAGCTCCCAGTTCTGTCTCTCTTCTGAAAGACAGAGAGCCTTGTCAAACCTAAGTTTCCTACTCTGTAGTCAAGGGAGTGTGTCTGGGCCAGTACTTTAGAAACTGGAGTCTGCAGACAGTTCCTGTGTCAGGAAGAATATGCACTCTCAGAGGGGCAGGGGTCATGCTGAGGATGAATACTTGAAGGAGCAGTCCCCAAACACATGCAGATGGGGGATACATAGAGTCTTTAATAGAAATTACCAAATCAACCTGGAAAGAGGTTGTACTAAATGACATCCCCACCACCAATATGAAACAGGGTAGACTTCCCCGCATGCCCACCTTACTGGAATCCTGAATGGTTTCTTTTTATATTTGGATGACATGACAGGTGGAAATTCTTTCATTGTCATTACATTTAATTTGATGTTCAGATAACTTTAAAAATTCCCTAGTATACAAAATGATCTGATAATCATCATTGCATTATATTTTTATTGCAAAATGGTCCATTTTCATATGTAGCCTAAAAACAATGAGCAACAGGCACATGAGCCTGCACGTTCTAGAGCTACTGCTGGCATTACATTTCCAGGGTGTGTGTGTGGCCTCTGGGTGCTTCTAATGACACTGTTTTCATAGAAGGGGATTAAGAATGTCTCTCCATGACATTGGTTGAGTTCAAGTTCGGAGAGGATCTGGATCTGCACTTTGTGGATTCTTTTTGAATGACACAAGAGCTGGACCACAACACGCCTCTGAGCAGGCTGTAATCTTTTCCCCATTGTGGAAAGCAAGCCTGTCTGAGACCTCACCTGTTCAAGTCAGGGTGGATCACTCCAGGATGTAAGGTGTGGAAGTCGGCCTAAATCTGCTTCTGAACACTGAAGCTGGTTGCTCCCATCTTGCTGCCATGAGTTGCAGAGACCTGCAAAACTGCCTGCTCTCAGCCACCAATGCCACAGATTCAGTCACCTGTGTGAGAACTCTGTCCTGAGAGAGAAAATACCATAAATTACCAGCAGCTGTTTGACATATCTTCCTTCCATCCATCCATCCATCCTTCCATCCATCCTTCCATCCATCCATCCATCCATCCATCCATCCATCCATCCATCCATCCATCCATCCATCCCTCCCTCCCTACAGTTAATAGACATTAAGGCCAAACTCTACACAATCCCTTTTGTGAAGTTTTAGCTTCCCCAGAATAGAAAGAAGGAAGTGAAGTGTGGAAATAGGGGCGTGATGAATTCAGTTTGTAGATCTAAAAAGAGATGGCCCCTTCCTCTTAATATTCAATGTGACAGAGTCTCTTATCATTGATAATTTTAAAACATAATTTAATACCCTGGACCCCTCTCTACATCCACAGTTACAGTTCTCTTTACATATATTCTCTCCATTGCAACCAAAGTTCTATGAAGAATTCTCAATACTCAACTCACATTCCTCCACCTCAGTCCTCATTGCTCATCTAATGGTGCTTTGTTCCCCCACCCTGCCACTGAAATGCAACCCGCCAAGGTCTATAGCCACTTCTTTTTTCACATTTATAGATCAAGAATGTTGAAATAAACATGCTAATGTTTTCATCTGTATAATATTATTTCAGAAGTTTTCTTATGCAGGTACTTATAAATTTATTCAGAAATGTATGTATTTATATACTTATCTTCAAAAGATAAGGTTCATCCTACATTTAATATAACTTGCTTGTTTCACTGAGAACATACCTCAAAGTTTATTGATTATGAATAAACATGAGTCTATCCCATAGCGATAGTAGAGATACTAATGGCCAGTAAAGACAGAAGAAAAGAAGTTAAAATGGCTAAAACATATTCTTTGCCAAGTCCTTTTTAGGCATTGAGTCATTCAATTTTCAGAGCACCCTTCCAAGGTAGAAACTGTTACTAATTCCCATTTCGTAGATGAAAATCTGAAGTACAGAGTGAGTAAAGACTGCCTGAGACCACACAGTTAGGGAGAGGGACAGCTTAGATTTGTGTCGAGTACATCATGCTCCAAAGCCTGGGAGACTGTCAAAGCTCTGTTGTTAGGTGAAAGAAGCAGTCTGCGCAAGCATGCGTACTTTGGGAGGTTACTAAAATGAATACTTTGTATATTAATATATTTATATGAAAAACTAGATGAGAAAAATGAGAAAAGGTTGGATGATTATGACCTTGGTGAGAGGACATTCATTGCAATCATATAGACAGAAGATATAGTACAGTGGGATAAGCAATCAAAGGGAAATGAGGAATGTAGAAAACCCTTTTCCAAAATTTGAATTTAAAGGTTATACGTGCGCGTGTGTGTGTGTATATATATATACACACACATATCATATAAACATTTAGTATCTGGCAAATGAAAGAATGGATAATTGTGTGTCAAAGGTATGCCAGTAGTGCTAAGATTTTTGTCCCTCAAGGAGGCAGCAGGTGGCTGAAATGCTGGTTGCTGTGGCCGGCTAATGCATGACCTGAGGACCTGTGCACAGGTGGCTACAGGACAGGTCCAGAATTTTTCTATAAATATATCAACATAGCAAGTAGCCCAGTAGCAGCCTCTGGGCAAACACCAAACCTTGCGTCCCTGGTGCTATCTATCTCTGAGCTTGCCAGGTGAGTTCCCAGTCATGCCTATCTTGCACACTGGCCCCACCTACAACCTGGGAAGCTGGATTTGGGTGTGCTTAGAAGCATGATGTTGAGTAGCTTCTATAAGACAATGAAATACTTCAAAATGCAGAATCCTTTCTTTCTCTAAAACTTTGAACTTAATGCATATTACAGAGATATTTGCTTCCTTCAACTAGATGTTTGTGTTCCCATGAGAAGAAATAATTAGATGTTTCCCTGGGGTCCTACAAATGTGAGCAATAAATATAATTTGTTTGTTTTTCTTTTGGAGTATTTTCATTAGATCTAGATACTTCTATGTTTGTCTTGATTGACTCTATTACATTATTTTATTTGACCTTCAGATAGTTTTATCTTCGTGAAGTGGGAGCCCCTCTAGTTTGGCTTCTGGTCTTTTTGACATGTCTTCTGGTATGTTAGTTGGGTCCAGAGTCATCAGCTACAATTCCTACTCAGACCTGGAATAAATCATTTCTCCAAATAACCTGATTCCTTTTAATGGGAAATGTTTTTAGTAAATTCAATCTGGAGACTAGGGTTGCTCATTGCTATTAGATTGGTCATTGTTTCTTGTCCTTTTCTGTGCATGGATCCAGCAAATATGTATTATGTTTTTCAGGGAATACACATGATTGTCTTCCATCCTGGGCTGTTCCTCCATCCCTTACATGCAGTCATTTTGATCAATTTTTTTTGAGACAGGGTCTCATTCTGTCACCCAGGCCAGAATGCAGTGGCACAATCACAGCTCACTGCAGCCTCTCCACTCCCCAGGCTCAAGAAATTCTTCCATTTCAGCCTCTACAGTAGCTGGAATCACAGGCATGCCTCACGACACCCAGCTATGTTTTTCTTTTCAATTTTTAGTAGAGAGGCGGTCTTGCTATGTTGCCCAGGCTATTGATCAATTTTTGTTTTAACGTTCAAATTTATAATATTATAACCAAATGTAATATTTATATTAGACTTCTCCTATTTCATAGGTGGCATATTCTACATTAGTGGAGTCCAGGAGAATTTCTGTAGAGGTGAACATATTCTGTGTCTACACTGTCAAATACAGTAGCCACTAGCTACCTGTGGCATTGAATATATGAAATGCGGTGAATGCAACTGAGGAACTAAATTTTTAGTTTTATCTAAAATAAAATATATCTAAAATACCTTGTTTAAATAACCACATGTGGTCAGTGCCTACCATATTGAACAGCAACAGCTCCTCACATGTTTCTGTGCCTTGCTTCTTTCACTTAATAGTATATCTTGAAAATCATTACATGGCAGTAGAGAAAGAGAGTCCTCCTTGCTTGGTATACGTGCATTGTACTCTAACATGTAGATGCACCTTATTCAGTCAATCCCCTATTGGTGGACATTTGTCTTATTTATAGTCTTGTCCTATTACAAATTGTTCTTCTAGGAATGACCTTGTTCTTCTGCCTTTTTGTCTTTTTGAAATGTATGTTTGGGATAGATTCTTAGACTAGAGATTGCTGGTTCCTGGAGAAAACACCTGTACCTCATAAAATGGAAAGGGAACAGGGAGTCCAGCCTGACTGGAGTGAAGAGTGGGGGCCTCCTAGGGGAGCGGACAGGGCTCTAAGATAACTGACTGGGCACTCCAGGTCTGAGGCCATCCAGATTTAGGGCTGATTGTGGAAGAACACATTTGCTTTGGTGAGATGCTGCATGTCACCTTTACACCCTGAAATTACACAAATTTGGTGAGAACAGAAGTGTCCTGAAGACCTCTCACAGGTCCATGGGCGCAGGAAGGAGACAGGAGCACTGAAAATAGTGAAGTGGTTGATGTCAGTGCCCTAAGCCTTCATTAAAGTGAGAAGCAAATGTCAAGAGGAAGGATTTACCACTAATTGGGTCCTCAGGCTGTCTGGAAATCATACACCCACTATAGTTTCTCTCTGACCGCAGGTCCAATGGTCTCCCATCTGCCAGCATGTTTATGCCT